TGGTGCTGGTGGTGGTGCTGATGGTGGTGCTGGTGGTGGTGCTGGTGGTGGTGCTGGTGGGTGGTGCTGGTGGTGGTGGTGGTGGTGGTGGTGGTGGTGGTGCGATGGCCGTGACAGCAGCAGCAGTAGCAGTATATCAGTCACACCACGAAACGTGTAGCAAGGACAGGGAAGCCGAGACTATGTGCTCCCTCACGTGCTGCCCTCCAGTGATATAAACACGACACAGTTTGCTCAACAAGCAGTGCATAGCCTGAGCGACCCATCAACACATGTTAGGCACGCCCATCAGCGCCTTTATGGTGCCGTACAGCATGACTGCCAAGGCGATTGAGATCACCACCATCTGCCCAGGCTTCCGCACGGCACGACTTGTTGTTTGCTGGTCCGAGCCTTGAAGAGCACCCCCAGAGAAACGTAGGGCAGGCCCATAGCTGAATAGGACTTGTACTCCTCCGCACACAGAGCTGAGCACCCTAGCCCCAGCTAGTTAAGGAAGTCTCTGATGACACCAGTGCTCGTTGTAAGGTGAATTGCACCAAGGAAACCCTTTCTCGGGAAACCTCCATGCGTCGCGGCGCGAGTCTGGCGTCTGAGGCATGTCAGCAAATTTGCTGCGGTATGAACATTGTGAGCAAGGTGCTCACTTAAAGAGTTGGGGCGGGAAGTCGTTGGGCGAGTTATCGAAAGTTCTACCACTTATTCAAGGGTTTACCTCGGCGAGTGGACGTCCCACTACGAAAGCTCTCAGGGCTTTCAGTCGGCCTGTCTAAGGCACAGACTTCTAAAACTGTTGGGCCGCGCATGCTTCCAGGTGAGGGCACTGTCCGGCACTGTTCGAGCCGGCATGGCCTGAGCTGAGAGCCAACAAACGAGGCCCATACGGCAGCAAAGCGACCGGCAGAGCCATCGCAAAAAGCCTAAATTTCCGGGACTTCTGCCACAGGGCAAACAGGATCGCAACCAGCGGGATCTATTCGACCAGCTTCATCTCCTTCAACACCTGCTGAACGAAACATTCAGACTGCAAGAGTAATCTACAACCCGTGCATAGGCCGTCCGACAATTCCCTGCACACCTCCGCCGGAGAAGTCGCAGGCATCGAGGACGTGTCCAAATTGTCGGAGTGTGGAGCCAGCAGTTCACGAACCTCCCAGACTCGTAGTCGCGTCGCTCTGGGACACAAACAGCTCGATGCCCAACAGCTCCTAGCAAACACTTCTGCTGGCTGCCGTTGAGTTCGCTGCTCGTGCAATGTGACGAGCTTGTACCGCTTCAGCAAGATCGTCCTTAGCTTGAGAAAACAAACCTTGTCTGTCATATCTTTCGAGCCCTGCGCTGCTGGAGCGTTCCGTTCCGCTGCCTTCCACGCTCCAGCTAGCAACTGCGCATTGAGTTGCTAAATCCAGTACTCCGGGCAGTGACCACCCTGCTTGGGCGGCTTGCTCTGGCGTCACCCAACAAAGCCTGCAATGTTGGCCCTCGACAAAAACCCGCAAATATGCAACCCTTTTAAACCACACCTTCCCAAATCCTAAGCCATAACCCCCAAACCATGACTGCCACTGTATTGGGGACAAACATTTTGGACGTGTCTCTGCATACCGCTGAAGCGCTTGTGCATGCGCACCGCATATTGGCCAGGTGGATGCATTTTGGCCATGGTCCTGCATTTTGGCTATAATGTGATTTTCCGCCAATGCACGCAGAACACCATGCTTGTCCGGTGGTGTTCTGGCGGTCTTTTGGTGGTTTGCGGGTACTCTCCTGCTGGTCTCCTGCTGGTCTTCTGGTGTTACTGGTGGTCTCTGCGTGGTGGTCTCCTGCTGGTGGTGCCGGTGCCGGTGCCAGGTGCCAGGTGCCAGGTGCCAGGTGCCAGGTGCCAGGTGCTGGGTTCTGGGTTCTGGGTGCTGGGCGAACGCGCTGGCGCTGGTGCTAGTGCTCGTGGTGGTGGTGGTGGTGGTGCTCGGTGCTCGTGTGCTCGTGGTGGGCGTGATGGTCGTGATGGTCGTTCTGGCGGTGCTCCTCGCAGTCGGGGTCTTGGTCTCCTGGTGCTCTATCCCGCTTTGGGGATCTGCCGTGGTATGATGGGATGCCCTGCCGCGCGACATCTTGGCATCCCCAAGGAGCACAAACGAAAGGTTTTGTAGTGCTAATGATGCTGGCTTCAGGAGCCTCCAAGGTGCTGAGGCTGGTCATGGGCGCAAAGCTTTGTGCGCACAGCTTACGGAGTTTGATGAAATAGGTGTTGGCGGTGGTGGTCGGCGCAGATGGCAGTGGTGGCAGTGGCGGTGGTGGTGAGGTGGCAGTGTGGCAGGCGGTGTGGCGGTGTGGCGGTGTGGCGGTGTGGGGGTGTGGGGGTGTGGTGGTGTGGTGGTGTGGTTGTGTGGTGGTGTGGTGGTGTGGTGGTGTGGTGGTGTGGTGGTGTGGTGGTGTGGTGGTGTGGTGTTGTTGTGGTGTGGTGGTATGATGGTGTGGCGGTGCGGTGGTGTGGTGGTGTGGTGGTGTGGTGGTGTGGTGGTGTGGTGTGGTGGTGTGGTGTGGTGGTGCAGTGGTGCGGTGGTGTGGCGGTGTTTTGCGGTGCTTTGTGGTTTTGTGGTGTGGTGGTGTGGTGGTGCGGTGGTGTGATGGTGTGGTGGTGTGGTGGTCTGGTGGTGTGGTGGTATTTTGTGTTGTTTTGTGATGTGTTGTGATGTTTTGTGGTGTTTTGTGGTGTTTTGTGGTGTTTTGTGTGGTATGGTGGTATGGTGGTGTTTTGTGGTGGTGTGCTGGTATGGTGTTGTTTCGTGTGTTTTGTGGTGGTGTGGTGGTATGGTGGTGTTTTGTGGTGGTGTGCTGGTATGGTGTTGTTTCGTGTGTTTTGTGGTGGTGTGGTGGTGTGGTGGTGTTTTGTCGTGTTTTGCGGTGGTGTGGTGGTGTGGTGGTGTTTTGAGGTGTGGTGGTGTTTTGAGGTGTGGTGGTGGGGCCTGGCCTTGCCGCAAGGCATTGAGTAGACTGAAACCAGATTTCCTTATTTGGATCGCTTGCGCCAGAAGCCCGACCCCATGAAGCATTCCAAATGTCTTTCTCCTCACGTAACTGTTTTGCAGCATCTGGACTGCTTGAACCACGCAGCCAACAACGTGCGAACACACGCGCAGGCACACAGACACACTGCGGCAGTGGGTCAATCGACGTCTGAGCGAGTGCTTCCTGACAGGCAGTAGCATGCTATCTACAAACTCAGTCTCATCTCAAACATCTCAACGTAGCATCTGGCATCGAATCTCCTTCTCCAGTTGCGCCCACAGCTCTCCACACGCCCAACTGGGAGAGGAAGCAATGGCCGCAGCCTTGGTTTAGACCAGTGGCGTCAAATTTGAGATGTCCGTTTCTAGCTCAGTTGTGTTGTGGCATCACTGTCCCGATCCTGCGCAGCTGCAGCTTCGAGGAAACCACCACCTGAGAAGAACGGCGATCATTTCAGCGAACTGTCACTCAATCCATCTATGCAACTCAAAGCGTATCCGGCAATAAATCCAGCACAAAACAAAGTTATTCGTTCTTCTTTTGGCCTCCCCTACACTGACAAACACGTCAAGGTGCAACCGTAAATGGATGAAGTGTTCTTCTTCAAGCAGTGCTTTCTGGAAGCGAGGTAAAGACAAATGCGATCAATCTTAAGGAGGCGAGAATCCTCAATCATCGTCCGCTGCATGCGCCAAGCAAGAACCTCTGCTCAGGGCCTTCCAGCCCACCTCTATTTTTCCTTCATCACACGCCTTACAATAAGCTAGCTCACTACACACAGACTTGACACCGTCGTGAATCTGTGAGTCTGCTCTAGGCTCGTCACGAGGTCAAGACCCCATCAAATTCGACACAATCTCTGATGTCTGAGTCGGCTGAGGCCTCGACGCTTGAGCTCCGCCATGGCCAGGTTGATCAAAGCTCGCGGATAATGGGGTTGCCAGCTCAGCACAAGCGGCAGCACGCCCCCCAGTATCAAAGCAGAAGACAACGACTTGATGGAACAAAGAGCATCTGAATTACAATCGGTCTTAGACACGGACTACAGCGCCCAGCGATATGCACAAACAGCATCTTCTGGACGACCACGATTTGCCAGGACTGCACCAAGCATGTTCCACCTCGCAAAATGCTGCCATTGCAATTGTCCATGCTGCCTGCTGCCCTACATGTGGCCTGGTGGCCCGCCGCCGAGGAGCACCAAAATAGGTGTCGTCCTTGCAGAGGCTGTCTTCCAGACACACTTGGATCTCTGCAGCAAAGTGCCAGCAGCAGCTGCGATTGTGATGGTGGGGTGTTTGACAGCTTGGCAAAAGTCCAAAAAATGCCCTGAGCAAGGCTGCGAAAAGCCAAACTGTGAGTTGGACGGCCTTGCTGTGGGCACTTCCTGAAATTCTTCGCTTGTTTGCACAGAAGATATACCTGGCCTCTGGAGCCAGCAAGGCAGAAGCAAAAGTCGATGCAACAGACTCCTGGCAACTGCGCGGTGCATGCATCCAGCCAGCTCTAAGGACTCTCCCGGTGATAAAAAGCCTCACTTCTACTTCGGATGCAATCCACTGGGTTTCTGCTCAGAAATCTCGCAAACCAAGCTCTTGAACAGCCCCTCCTGGCCCTGCAACAGCTGGAGCAAGCCCAAGGCCACGGCGACATCGGCACTGGCCGACCCGCCCTTTGCAGGCAGAGAGATAGAGAGGGAGATAGCTATACAGGAACAAACTCTTTACTCAAGCCGTCTTCTTCAAGCGAGCACACCATTTCAGCGCCTGCTCGCTTCTCAGGCGGAGGAGCCTCTCCTGCAGCGCCTCCTCCGACGGACCTGACAGCATCACCCGCAAACGAACCTTTCACCAATATATACAGTATGTATATAGATATATATATATACATGTACATATCTACTCTTCAAAAGTCAGGCAATCTTTGACAGACCAATGACCTGGATGTGCTGCCGAAAGCCACTTCTCCAGGCACTCCGTGATTTCTGCCTCGCATGAGCATTAGCACCAGTGATCGACCGCAAAGCTTGAGTTGTGATGACATCTTCTGCACCATGCCACCTGCGGATCCTCTGCTGCTTCGTTTAACAAGCAGATAGACTTGAGGAGCAAGGCATGCTGCCTGACGCACACACATGGCAGACGGGAGCTTTCATGGTGGTTTTGACGAACGAGAACAAGAAGATGTGATATCAATGAGTTTAAACCATGGCTTGCCTGACCCGAGCTAATGCTCTCTCGGCTTCATCATCTTGAGCAGGACGCTCAAAGGCCTTTGGGTCTCAACGTGCCAACAAACATCGACAGCCCTTTCTGGAAAACCTGTGCAGCTAGGCCCCTGATGCCTTCCCGTGAAGCAACCCCTTCAAACAGTTCGTCACTTTGTCAGTCCCCGAAAGTCTTCTGAAAGTCCGGGACAAGAAGCAGTGCTGAAGCAGCGCAAAGCCAGCCGGTCGATGTTGATGTCCATCAACAAGGCGCCATACTCCAGCGCGTAGGTCAAATGAGATTGCCTGGGAATGGCTCCACCCATGTACCGCAACACAGAGTGCCGCCCTGACTAGTTAGCCGTACTCTGAAATACGAGGTGACGGCTCTTGACTATCAAAGTGGTTAAGGCCACTGCCAGTCCTCGTTCGACGCCGTCTGCCCCATGGCAACCTGTGAAAATGGAACCACCCTGGAACTGCACGGCAGCACTCACAAGGAGTATCGGAAGGGCTCGGAAAAGCATTGCCATCCATTGCCTCCCATGCTTGAGCCGCATCTTCCAACTTGCCGGATGCCTGGAACTCCTTGGCCAACTCCTGTCGAACTCCGTTCAGGGCATGGCATGGCTCTCTCTTGGAATCCACTATGGACCGGCATTTTCGTGCATGAGACATGTTTGCATGAAATGAATCTATACCACACGTCGCACATAAACTCCCGAGCTTATGTTGTGGCCTCTGAGGCTGAATTCGCACACTTTGCCTCTGCAAAGCCTTGGCGTGGCTTGGCCTTGCTTGGCTCCAGGATAATGCCCGGAGCCCAAATCGAAAAACAAAGAAGAGGCCCATGCCTCCGGTTCAAACTAGCAGCACACGTATCCACAGCAAGTGCTGATGCCGGTGATGACACACATGATATACAGCTTTCCGGCGCACGTATGCACCAACTGTTCAACATTGGCATGCTGCATGCTGTCTAAAACGGTTGTTGCTTCCGCTTTGCCAACACCGAACGGCTGGTGTGACCCTAGCTCCTGGGGGTTGTCGGCGGCCTCGTACGGATTTTCCTGCCATTCTCTGCGAGCTAAGCTGGAAAAACACAATGCAAGCACGACAGCTGTCCTTTCCATCGTGGAAATATATGTCGTCCACGTCTGCTTTGCTCAGCTTCTGCGTCTCATTTTTGCGATTGTCTGAAGCGAAGCCGGGGCTCTTCTCGAAAAGGCCTTGGTCACATCCGCCGCACATTCACGCAGCTGGACAGTCCGCATACTTTGTCCCACCTTGGAAGGTTGCCACCTCCTTGGCCTTTTCGTTCCGGAAGCTCTGTCTCAGCGCTTCCAGCTCCTTCCTCACCGAAGCATCCTCTGAGAAACAGCCACATCTCTTTTTCAAACACACAGCGTCCCCTTCCCCTTCTGCGCGGAAAGTCCTTGGGCATCAGCTTGCAGGCCCGCACCAGCTCAAACTCAGCCTCCTTCTGCTCACCAAGCTCCTTGAATTCAACAGAGGCATGGCCGGCATGGCCAAGAAATGCGGCCTTCCATGGGCCAAGACACCATTAGCGCTTTGGCCTTGCGGTAGGTGGCCTACCGCAGGCAAGAGTCTGGTCGCGCTCAACACAACGACGACGATTGATCGGCTTACCTCGATGCAAGTGCTGGCGCCTTGGGATTGTCTGGCTCTGCATCCAACACTTCCTGGCAACCCCGCTGGAGCTAAGCCCGTGCCGCAGATCCGTGCTCGGGACTTTGCGCTGCCTCGCAGAGCTCCAGTGCCCGAAAGGGCTCTGTGGGATCCGACCGTAGACAAACCAATGCCAAGTTCCTCGCATCCAGTGCACACACAATCAAATTCGGTCTCCGGTCGCAGACTGACTGCTGCGAAGCTTCAGCTGTGTTGGTCTCCTCAGGGCCACCAGGTCTTCGCCCAAGCCTTTTGCAAGAAGGGGGGTAGCAAATCGCAAAACAAGTTGCACAATATCGACAAACAAATTCCAACTCACGGCCGAGATTCCCTCCGGAACTTCTTTGAATTGAGTCAGTCGCAACGCCTGCTTCCACCAAGACGAGTTCAAAGCTGCGCCACTCTGACTGCATTGCTGCACTGCGCCGTGGGTACATGCCGCAATACAAATCAAAAGCACCTGGGAATGACCCGTAATGATCCTTCAATTCTTCCCGATCTTTGCCGCAACTTTATGCTGTGGGCAGCCTCACTGTATGCTTTCCGAGCTCCTTCCATATCCTCGAAGGTATTGCTTTCTTTCTTTTGAAAGGGCACTGTAAAGCAAGGCGATGCTCCTACGACCCAGGTCCTGCTCTTTGAACTTGGCATTGCCCTCCTCTCGAAGCTTCTGCGCAGAGGCCAGGCGTTCCGCCGGATCTGCAGTGCCGCCGGTAGTCATGATCGGCGTCGGTCTCACAAATCCACAGGAGCCTCTAAGCCATGTGGTAGACTGGCAAAGTCTATACAGAGCATATAATCCGACAATGAGCATATTGCTTCCTGGATTCCTGGCAATAGGTTCGCAATCTACAAATACTGGGGCAAGCAAACTGTATTTCAAGACAGCTGCAGCGAGGAAAGAACTCATGCGTAGCCAGAACATCTCACGAGAGTTGCTGCCGTGTCCGAGCGTCCGTGTTTGCGCTCGTCTTGGAGTGGAAAATCGTCTTATCACTATCGAACAGGAACGACCTGGGCCGCAAAACCTACCAACGGTTCTGTCGAACTCGAAATTTCTGCGGACAACTCCGCTGCCCAGCAAACAAGAGCATTGCATATCGAGACTTACATTTCAGGAACTGCACAGAGGATGGGACGAATGGTCTGCGAGAACACCATTGCGCAGCCTGCAGCGAGTGCTTCGAATTGATAATATATCTGCTTTTGGCCTTTACGCCAATGTGCAGCAGCCTGTATCGTCTGAGAAACGTCAGCTCCACGGCCGGCGCCCAGGAACCTGCATTGTTGACACGACTCACCAAGCTTCGCTCCCCATTTCGTCAGCTCATGTCGTCAAGCTCTGGCTCGCACACTTGCATGCAAGAAAAAGCTTCGACACACTGCACAGCACACGGCAAACATGCGTTTATGGCACCTTCAGATCCACGCGCGAGGGTCACCTCGCTACTGGTACCATGTCAACATGGATGTTTGACATGGTTCGATGGACATACACGAAGGATATCAAAACTTGTCAAATTAATCCGCTCAGGGTGTGTTTGTTTGCTGGCCTCGCGATGAGGGCGATTGTGCCAGTCTATACGACATCGGTCCTCACATTGCGTTCAAGGCTCACAAGAAACGGTCCATTTCTGCAAGTCTAAGCTGCCGGCCATCGACGCATCAAAAGCTTCAAGCTCACTCGAATGCGTTTTGCATATCCACACATTCGGAATCAACGTCTTGCTCACATGCACTTGGTGCTGCATCTGATTAGCGCAACAGACGTCTTCTAGGTCCTGCTGTGCCTGCTTTGCTCGCGTCTCGGTTCAAAGGAGTAACGGAACACCACAACTGATCTGAGACTTGTGCGAAAGCAGTGCGCAGAATGGATTAAGAACCTGTGGACCATCGTATGCGCTGCTCCCTTCTTGAGTTCATAGTTCTTTGCTCGGCGCCCGTGAAGCAAATCCCCTGAGCTGTGTAAGGTGTAAGCCAGACTGAGCAACGTTGAGCAACAGTGAAATTGCGAGGATGCAACATCATTGCAAGCAGAGTTGGGTAGGCGATGTATTGCAAACTCAGTGGTCGCCAGGATTCAAGGTTTGGACCGCAGTTCCCGGCTGCAGATGCGAGTAGGTCGGCCTCTGATGACAGGTTTCTTGATCTCTAAGAAGATGTGTTTGAGGATACCAGCTCGACCCCTCGTCCTTCTGCCCACTGCATCTTCGCACACGAGTGCTTCATCATGGAGGGAGACATGTGCTTCATGCACCCACACGTTACAAGATCCCGAATCATGCATACTGCATACGTGCAAACATGCATATATCCACCCACCCAGTCATTTAGGCATCCGTCCGTCCGTCCGTCCATCCATCCATCCATCAATCAAGCCATCCAGCCAGCTGCACATACACATAAATGAAAGCTCTATGGAAACGAATTGTACATTATGATTCGAGTACATCCGTTTCAGTGTCCTGCAAAGAATGTGCCATGATGCTCATGGTGTGTCTCTGATTTTGTGACACAAACCCCGCACAGACATGGCTCATATTGATTCGACAAAACGCCGGCTTCCCCAGTTTCTCGCAAAAAAAAATTCGCTTTCTTCGGCTAAACTACCAATGCCGAGATCTCTCTCTCAAACCCTAGGTCTGCTTCATTTAAATTAAGAAAAACGACATTCCCCAGATTCTCGCAAAGAAAAAAAGGCTTCCTTGAGTTAGACCAAGAAAGAACCGCACTCCTCAGTTCCTCGCCAAAAACCTACTCTGCTTCAGCTGGACGACCGAACCCCAGGATTTCTCCCCAAAAGCCTAGAAGAAAAAGCTGGGTTCAAAGTGTCGCAAAAAAAAGAATCTGCTTCAGTTAGACTCGGAAAAAACGCATCCCCGGGATTTGTTTCCAAAACCCCAATCTGGTTCAGTTAGTCTAGCAGAAAAATGATTCCCCAGCTTCTCAACAAAAACATAGTCTAATAGTTTGCTTCAAGGAAACTAAGTAAAAAAAAAAAAAAAAAACTAAGTTTTGGATCTCTGTCCAATAACTTAGCCTGCATCATTTACACTAGGCAAAAAGCCGAATTCCTTGCCAAAACCTAGTCTGTTCAGCTAGACTATAAAGAACAAGTCGAATTCCTGTAATTCTCTCCTTAAAAACCTAGTCTGCTTCACTTCTCCGGAGCTTTATCATCATCCGAGTCCGAGTGCTTTCACAAAACATCTTGATGGCCTGGGTGAGGTTCGTCTGCCTGTTGAAGATCAGGGCTTGTTCGATGAAATTCTGACGGCTGCCGCACACCGCGCAATGATCCCATGGACAATGCGCAGATGGACGTGAAAGGGGCGAACGCAATGTCCTCGAAAGCGAAAGGTGGAGTGCGCATGCAGGCCGAATGATTCAAATCAGAACCGCACCAGACGACGCATCGTAAGCAACAAGTCAGACAGCTGCCCGATTTTTCTGAGCGCACGAAGCCCTCAGCCTGAGAGTGTATCCAGGATACCACGAACATCCACACAGGACAGAGCCGTTTCCGGTCATGCCAATGCGGCCATTACCTTTATCACCTAAGTACAGTATCTGAGGTGCCGTGACAACCACGCTTGCACGATTCAAGATTCCATGAGCAACCCAGCGTGCGGCTGGAACAGTGATGGAACCATGTTGGGAACACCTGCTTCAGCCAATCTCAGTATGGCCCAGGCCTTGCCAGACTTCGCACACAAAAGCAAGCAAGTCTGCAGCAAAACACGACACTGACCTCTCCGCTTGTGGGTGCTGGAAGGCACCGTAATCTGCCTGCGCGAGGACCAGTTTGGACAAAATGACGACTATCCTTGATTCCTGACCCCGTCAGGTCCCGCGCTGCCTGACCCATTGGCTGCTGACAGCCTGAGGCTGGAGGCTTGCGAAGCGTGGAATCTTCATCCCTATTAGCTTCGGTGACTCGGTGGTTCGGAGATGTTCTGAGCATCCAGCCGCCTCCTGTCTTGCCCCCCATCCCACCACTTGCTTCCCGCCCTCCCGTTCCCGACCCCTCTCCTACCGCCCTTCCTGCGACTCCAAAAGAACACAACTTCATTTTCTGACTTTTCTTCCTTGGTGTGGCGTCCTTGCAAGCACGGACCCACGATTCTTGCAAACAGGCGAGCACACAGATGCTTGCGGGCTTTGCCGGATGAACCTCCTTAGAACCGGTCGAACGGTCATCAGTGTGAGACCTTAAGGGCAAGTTGGGGGTCAGAACCTGTGAACACATTAAAATAAGCGGAAGAGTTTTTTCTTACAGCGTTTGCAATTGCCCCTTGCGGGCTTGACGTCGGGAGGAAGCAGATTAGGATTTACCTGGGTGCTGTTGCAATGGACAGTGCCTGAAATGTGTTTGGATGGGACGGTCGGAGCACCGTCCGGCAAGAGCCAAGATGGAAAAAAAGATGTAAACGTTTCAAGCTAAACAAAGCCTGCCGTCGTAGGTGTGGACAAATCAAGCCTTGACCTGTTTCCAAACGCGCAAACATACAGCTTTGGCGACCGAACTGGACAATTTATCGTCTGCCCCGCCCCCCCCCCCCTCCGCGCTCCCCACCACTACCGTGAAGCGCAAACCTGGCATTGGCCGCCATGGCCCTCAGCACTATGCAATACTCCTACGCTTCACACCGAAAACGAAAAGATGCCGCATACAGAGCGATCAAAGTCCAAGACTGCCTACATTGGATTGAGAGATGTCCTTATTGCATCCGGTTTACGAGCGAGTGCCCTAATTCAAAACCTGGCAAAGCAATTGTTGAGGCCGCCACCACCACCAAAGTTCGCAAAGCCCAGGCCTTCAGAAATGTACACAGGCGATAGAAATTAAGATCAGCGACTCTCGACTTCCGCCTTGTTGCGTCTGCAGCTGACTCGCCTGGAACTGCCCCTTGGTTTCAACTCAATGCCGAAGATCTTTGCTTACGCAGTTGGCGTGCATGCACCAACAACGGCTTCTGTCTTTGCTCTCCTCACTAAACTTTGCGATATTCCAGAAGCGACGCATGTGCTGGCTTTGCCAGACGATGCCCCGCCGACAGACGTTATCATGTACGAACCCAGGCCGGCCAGATGTCTCTTTCAGAGACCCTGCAGCAGACCGAGGAATCGTTCCCGAACGCTTCGGGACATGAGAATGCAACCAACTGCTGTCTAGTATGACCCGAGCACAACTAAGCAGGGTGTCTGCAAGTTGCGGCAAGGTTGTTGGGCCCCAGCTTCTCACGCTCTTCCGCAAACCACGAAGGCTTTCCATAGGCGCCTCGGAATTTTGCCTGTGCAGCCGAAAGTTGCACCATGTGTTGCCATGATGCATGCAATAGTCTCCACCCCTCTGCTCCAAAGTTGGCAGGCCTTAAACGCATCGTCATAGTCCTGGCTTCCGGAGAAATCCAAGTCCCGACCAAACACCACGGAGTCAACCACAGACTGGAGAAGCGGAGCATGGAACTTCTCCCTGGCAGAGACAGTGAGACCCTAGTCCCTGCAGCGCCCTGCATCACGCACCAGGCCTACCGCGATCCATGAAGTCCTGGCGTCTTGGCCGGCTTGCAGTCAGGCACCCATCCTAAGTTGAGGTACTGAGCAGTTGTTCTGGCGTGCTTTGCCTCTCCCACCCTCATTGGAGGCGATCACGAGACAAGGCACGCATGTGCGACGCATTCGCTCATCTGGAAGGCCAACAACCTCTGCTCCCCATCGCGTGTCTGCGATTGCTCGCCTGAGACACTTGGTGTTGTTCAAGCCTGGTTCAAGCATGAAGTGTGGCGGCTCACGTCACAGTGCTGGCTGAGCAGCCGGAATCTGCCATGCTTATAAAGCCTGGGCTGGCTGCACAGAGAGCTACGCCAGCAAACTACGTCGGGCACCAAATTGTACATGATTTTGAGCAGGCAGCGGCAGTCTTTCGCTCTCCAGACTGGGTGGATGCGATGCCCGTGTGTTGCTCACGAGCCGTTGCCTCAAAATGTAGTTGTCCTTACTTCGATCAGATGCTCGCAGAGATGTGCTTTCACCTTCTGCCCGGTCGCTTTCTTTGCAGCAAGAGCGCATGCAAGTTGCCGCAACCCAAGGGGGCTGCCAGTGCCGCTCTTAGAGGTCCTGCAGAGGCCTGCAGCCAAGAAGTGCTGGAAGCGTTGAGTCCTCGGCTCTGCGGCACCGAGGGCTGGAGAGAAATGCGCATCACGGCATCACTTCGGTCTTTGATCTGCAAGCATCTTCGGGGAGAAGTTGTTTCGCTGAGCCCAATCATGTCGTGAGGGGCCAGTTCGAAGTCCACAGATTGTGAGATGTCAAAGTCCAGAGACTGAGAGACCTCACGGCTTGTCAAGCATTTCGATGCCCCGCGTTCATTACCAGGGAAATCGTTGTCGAACTTGAGGGTGCGCTTTGACCAATCCGTCGTGGTGCTGGTGGAAACATCAGCCAGCCTCGACACGGGGAGACAAATGCTGAAAAGCATCCTGAAAAGCCTACAGTTTGGGGCAGCGCATGGCGCTGCTTTTTTCGAAGCTTCGCTAAGCGTCCAAGTCACTCCGGGGGAGGCTTCCAAGTGTCGATGAGCTCGTCCTGGCCCTGGCTGCGCGCCTTCTTCTCCGCCTGTTTCAGTGAAGTAAGGAACCTCAGATGACCCTGGAGTCCGGCAGTGTGTTCTCATACAGTGCAGTGCAAGCCACCCGGCTGACCGAGGCACTCTATGAGGTTGATGTTGCCGCTGTTCGCTGCGTCCAAAGCACCAAACAGATCTCTCTTCTCAGATGCGGAAAGCTTGCCAACGCCAAGCCTGCAAACAGGTTGTGCATTCAGCGCCAGACTTGCGAGGCCGATCGGTTTCGAAATGCCCGACCATGCCTTTCCAAGCCACTGCACAGCTCTTCCCTGGAGGCTGACCCATTCCTTCTGGCATCCAGGCACCTGCACGTGATCCGCTCGCAGCGCTTGGGCAAGCAGTGTAAAATCTTGAGCTAAACAGGACTGGCTGTGAGAAAGGCTTCGGACCACATGCAAATACCTCAGGATGCCTGCGATGCTTTAGACTCTAGAGGGGGACAGAAGCACAATGGAAGCTGTCTTAATAAAGGCTGGGACAAGGCTTGGACATATTCGCAGCCATGTTGCTTGAGGACATCCACGGATCTGACCTTCCTAGCCATTGCTTTTTGCTTACCCTTTACAGCATTCGCACTGCACGCAGCGACTCTCTCGGGATCTGAATTGAAGGGCGGGTCCTTCGAAGAAGCAGGCTCCGGATTTTGGCCAGGACAAAGTCGCTGTCTGTTAAAGGCACCAGCTCGACTGGCTTCCGGCGGTGGCTGGCCATCCGCCCTCGAACAGTGAAGACATTCTGAAATCGAAAGCTGACTGAGTCACCACGGTCATGCAACATGTACTTTATTCAAGAAACGCATTCGCTGCCAGGCATCTTTCACGTGCAGTCAAGGCCCCGTGCCTGTCATTGCCTGCCGGCACTTTCGATGGTCTTTGTTCAAGCAAAGCTTGCAGCACATAGAATGCTTACATCTCTCTTCCGTGGTCCGCCATGCCTGCCAGCCCATCAGGCACGGTCGGCGCATGGGCGGCTGCAGCATCCGTCTGCGCATAGGCCCCGACATCGGTTCGCAAGCTGGGGACATGTGAAGCCGCACGCTTCTGCTGCCTTGCAGATGTACAGTCAGCGATTGCATGCTGCATTCTCTGCACCAGCAACCAAAGTCTTTGATTCATAGGGTGCGCACACTTCCGTATCCGCAGTCGGCTTGCTTCTTTGGCGCTCTTTGGTTCCGGTGCGGGTCAGTCTCTTGTCAAGATCTGCCAGCAGCACGTGTCCATTAGCGTCCTGGGCCAGGAATGGACGGCAAGGAGCAATCCGCCGCATTTTTCTCATCTTCGGGTCCTTCCCCAGCTTCTCGTAAACTTCCAGAAACTCCTCCTCGCTCAGCTCGAAGGCAAGCTTGGCCAGGCCGGCGCGGAGCTGAGCGGCACTGATTGCCTTGCTCGCCTCATGGCACCGCCGATTTCAACGTCAACCGAAGTTTCACGGACCGAGCCAAGCAGAGCAGCTCGGTCTTCCAAGAACGACTGCAGCACATCCGCGGCACCTGAGTGAAGCAAGATTGCATGGCATGGTCTTCGATTCCAAAAGTGCTGCCAAACAGCTGATGTGCGTTCTGTTCAGAGTCTCCCGTATCCTCTGCAGCACCGACTGTGCGGTTTCCTTTCCAGGAGGTAGGAGAAGTTGCTGCAGGCAGGCACTGCATGCCCCGGTGCTATCCAAGTTTCTGAGGGCTCATCATGCAAGGACATGCGAGAGCCGGGCTCTTCAACGAAAAATTGGTGCAACCTTTCCCGGCTCCATGGCAACGGCCCGTGAGAGACTACTCCATTTGCGCTAATGGCGGCGATGTGGTGCAGCAGCTGCAAGCTGCACCAGGCGTCGCAAGCACCGCAGTGGCTTCACGAAAGGCTGAGCTCCACGCCATGCCATCTTGAACAGGAAAGCCACCGGGTATGCCCTGTGGGACAAATCCTCCCTGCGCAAAGGCCGGTGCTCCAAAGCTTTGTTGGTTTGCACCGGCTTGGAAACCATTCTGGAATCCCTGCATCATGGAGAAGTCACCTTCAGCGACTGCAGCACACTTCCCGGGTGGTGGCTGGAACAAGAAGCCTGAGCATCAAACTAAAGCCGCATCCATTGCAGGGAGCACCTCTTCACTGCCACCACCGTGTCACCACGCTGCTCCACCTCTAGCCGACTACACTGATTCATCCGCGCCTCCGAAGCCTCCGAAGCTGCCGAGGTCACCTGAAAACAATTCAAGATCCAGATGAGCTTGGCAGGTTAGGTCCGGTGGCATGGTCAGCGATCAATCGCTACTTCTAAAGCTGGGCCATGACCAAACCCCGAATCAGTCTGCAGATGCTACGGCTGCCAGAATCATCGAATCAGCTCGCATTTTGACTCAACATGGAAGCTCTCGGCTACAGCTCAGGCACTCCCTCCACTACTGCTTTTACTAGTCCCAGGAACATTGCTGCTTTTTACTGCTACGGATACTGCTATGATGAGTGCTTTTACGATTTTTGGTCTTGTTATTGTGATTGTTGCCATTACCGGGTTTTCTGACGACCACCACCCACAGAAGCTGACTCCAGACGCTCGGCACAAAAAACGACTCAGGCGGGTGTCACATTAGGGGGGCTTGCATTGGCAAAGGTCTCTGTGAAGATGAAGAAAACATGAGAAAGCATGTTGCCAGAACAACCACCGTGTGAAAGTGACCTGCGCCTCGCGAGATCCCCCGCTCAAATTAAGCTACCGGCAACCACCAGGGGCACCATTGAAGGCATTGCAGCCGCCACCTTGAAAGCAGCAAATGCATCTTGGTGCCGGGCCGCTCCAACAACAAACCGTCAAGCGCACCGCAGCCACCGAAGCCACCCTTGCCTCCTTCCAGCGGTGGGAGCAGAACTCGAGAGGATGCCATGTAAAGAGAGTACCGCTGCGAGCATCCCCACCTCCTTTGGACCCCTGCCTCGGTCCGCCAGAGACCAGCAGCTAGGACACTAGAAAGCGGTTGAAACAGTAGGCTCAAGGCTGAGGTCTATCGAATGCTGGGGCAGCAATAAGCACAAGGCCAGGCCTTCAGCGATTAAATCAAAAAGGGCAGCAAGGAACTGAGGTTCCTGAGCGTGGGACTTCACCTCGTGCTGCTGGTGGGCTACAACCGACGAAGCCTTGAGTTGCACGGCCTCGCAGCACACCTCACAAGAATTCTTGGACTAAGGCACAGGCAGTACTGGGATCCTTGAAGCTGACAAAGGCTATGCCCTTGTTGCCAGGCGGGACCTCGGCTGCAAGCCGAGTGACAGCAGTGAAGCGCACACAAAGCGTGGCCAGTCATACCGTCAGAGTCTGACATAGCAGTCTGACAGCTCGCCAAATCTGCAGAAGTGCGCCTGATCGCGTGCACGAAGTTCGTGCGCCGCCGGGTGACCAAAGCATGGGGATCATATCACTGCAGGCAGCACAGCAGACACGATGCTTTCACTAGTCGTTGTCTGCTTCTGGTGAAACAGTGGCCAACCAGGGTGATTATCGTCATAATCTGCTCTGGTGCTTGTGCTCTTTCTCCTCCTTAGCCTGCAACGCCAGAATGTTTCAGGCGGTTGCTGTTCAGTTCAGTACTGCTCATTGCACCTCTACGTTGGCAACCTTTTCAAGCTCATCCAAGCTCTCCAGCACGTGCTGCTTCCTGACCAGCCGGTTTGGAACAACGAGGAAATGCCCATGGTATAAACATGAGCGAACTACTTCAAAGGCTTGGCCCGCCGCCTTGCTAACAATCCTCAGCCACCACAAGGCCAGCATGTCAAGGGCGAAGCAGCCGAAGAATGTAGCAGTGCATAGCTGTGCAGTTGCTTCGAAGACACGTGAAAACAGATATGCTTTGCTGCCTTGGGTCGACTTGGAAGATTCGGATGCTCCGGCTCCAGCCTCCACAGCCCCCGTTCTTCGGGAGTGGCGCCTGCTGCCTCGAGCTCCTATGCCGTTACAACAAAGAACTCGCATTAACTCGCAGAGTGCGCAAGCACTTTCCGCCCTGAGCCGTCCTGGATCAGCTTCGGCAGAGCTCCCGGCTCACTCGCTGTCTCCAAGAAGCTGAACAATGGAGACAACAGGCTCACAGGCAGAATGAAGTTGATGTGCGGTAGCACGGCGCCGTCCTTGCATCGTTCACGACAGAGCCAGTGTCAATAGTGGCGACCCATCACACGGAAGCATTGATCATGCAGTTTCTATGCCACTCCTGCTGCTTGGCATTGGTAGTGACCATGCCAAGCAACCTGACTGTCATCAGAACAAGGATGGTGGGCAGGCTTTTCTAGTGCATGCTCCATGCGCGTGCTTCTCCACAGTGATGCAAGAAGCTCACCGGTCTCTGCAGCCACCAGGGCACCACCGCTGCACCCTCGATGGACTGCCGCCGAGCTCTGCAACACAGCCAGTCTGCCGTTTGTGCCCCAGACGACCTTGGAAAGCTGGCCTTGGCAGAGAGAGGCGAGAGAGGCAGCAATGATCTCGCCACTCCACGCTGCAAAGTCGGTGCTCAACGCAAGCCTGCAAGACGAGACCACAATGGCTACAAGCAAAATTAGCACGAAGTCTTGGACAGATCTCAGATTCATGCCGCAGGTCACAGCCGGGCCATACCACGGAGAACCCGGGCCAAACAGCCCATGTCCCACAGCCCAGACCTGGCTGTTTGGGCCGAGCTATGAACCACAAGCATTCTCACAGGCGCCTTGATGCCCTGCTCGATGGGCGTACACTGGCGTTTCCACAAACTCGGATTGAAGGCATAGGTGGGCTCGCCCCTGCCGGACCATGCTTTCTGCTCTGGTGCGACGTAGCAACACTTTCTGGACGACCGACTGCAACCTAGCTCATGCAGGCTCTGGGCCGATGTCGTTCTTCCCGCTTCTCTATTTCATGTGCTTTCTTCTTGGCTCAGCTAAGCAGGTCTTCACCATGTCATGCGGAGGCTATTCATCAATTCTTTGGTCAGAGGTCAAGGGAGGTAGTTGTTCAAACATGTTAGCCGCAGCTCCTCCTCGGCTTCGCGATTAGCAATGCCGCATCCAGGAAACCATCGAAAATGTGCAACACATCCGCTTCAAAGTTGGCCATCTCAGTCCTGCCCTCAGCACGACAAGCAAGAAAGCTGATAACTGCTCCTTTTGTGGTGCTGTCGTATCAAGTGTCAACCAGCATCTGAGTTTCTGCCTGCACACGCACGAAGCAGCGCCCATGACAGCGTGGAAAGTTTGTCGCCGAGCGCCGTGGCGGGCTACCATCCTCACCATTCCCAAGATCCACTTTATGAACAGCACATTGACGGTTTTCTACCGTGTGTCTCAATATCTGCCTTGTAGCTCAGCGTGCGCTGCAGCGAGATACAATGCAAGCACTGATGTGGCTAATTGCTGCAGCTAACTATGTGATGCTACGTGATCCACTTTCGTGAAGATGCCGCAAGATGCCTTCGAAGGTTCCATCCAGGAGGTGCCCGTCAGCAAATGTGCACAGGTTAGAAGATGGCCGTCTTCGGACAACACCAGCGCAGAAGCCCAGCTGCCAGAGTCCAGCCACAGCAAGGCCACCCCCTCACGGGCCTGTGAAGTTCGGCGACTGCAGCTCTTTACACCGACATTGCATTTCACATGCTTTGAGGGCAAGCCTGCTCCGATGGCCAAGAGCGCAGCAGACCCAGATCGAATGGTGCCAACGAAGCGGCCTCCCCTTCGAACAGCTGCGCTTGACCTGAGGCTTCATGGGTACGTCACGGTTATGTGGTCCGGGTGGTCCGGGCTTCACTTCGGTCTTGCGGCCATGTAAGCACCGCACACGCAGGATCATCAAGCAGAGTCTCCCGGACCACACTGAGAGGAATGGCCAAGCCGAGCGCCACAGCATCGCCTGTTCAACATGATGCAACCTCGGCTTGCCTCTAACCCTGCAAGACCAACAAGGCTACAAAGAACGTGACGTCCGACCTGATCTGCTGCGAAGGGTGGGCGCCATGATTGCCACCACTTCTGCCTCGTCCAAATGAAGCCGCCACGGCCCACATACCAGAAGCAAAAAAATGTGTATGTCGGGAGCAGGGCCGGGCCTTCCTTCCCATCTTCAACACAACAGCGCCACCAGCAGAATTCTCTGCAGTAGCATCCATCAAGAGGAGGCCGGGAGACGTCGAGGTGTTGCAAACTATACCTTGGCTGCACCACACAAATTGCCTCCCAAGCCTGTCAAAGCCAAGGCACCTGTGACCTGTTGCCTTTCAGAAATGCTTTCGGCTGCAAGCTGGCATCTTTTCATCTCCTTGATGGATACGCCGGCAGTCTTACGGGACTGCTGGTGCTCCGCACGAACCGTCGGAAAGCTGCAGTGTTGCAGATCCTGAGACCTGGAGCTCCCTACGGCAGAAGTGTGACACCACTTTCGGGCTGTGCCCATTACCCGTGGCTTTTAGTTTGCTCCATCCTTCGTCATCGTCACAACCGATCGGGCAAGGAAGCCACCCGTTGAGACCGGACAAGGCAGCCACCCCTTGAGTCCGCCGGTCTGTTCCCGTACTCGCCTTTCAGATATCAAGACGCAGGCCGGCTTCCAAGCATGGGAAACATCTATTCCGGCCTGCACAACCCGCATTCACCACAGCCAGCGAGAAAGCAGACTCCAGCTGAAGCTCTGCCCGAAGTATTTACCACACCATCCCGCCGTGTGCAACGAGAAGATTTAAACCAACTGGAACACATGAAGACAAGCGGCCGGAAACCTGGTCAATCCAGAATTCCAAACCTGAACAACAAATAAATCCCAACAAGAAAGCGCAGGTGAAAACGTAAAACATGTATGGAAGCCGAGACGAGTTTCCAGTACTGGACAGTCTGAGCGGCCGAACACCCCGCTGGCCACCAGCCCCAATCTAAGCTTGAACCGGATGCCGGACTCACGAGCAAAATATCCATAAACCACTCTCACCACAAAAGCACGGTGCCCGCCCCCATTCAGAACGAGATCAACACCCACAAAACCGTCGCACAGCGGCGCTCCGGGTGAGAGTTGTAACCGGAACCAGCGCGCGACCGAACGGGAGCCACATTTCAGGAACCCACCGGGACATAACAGGAACCAGCAGGACATGCAACTGGAAGACCATAAACTGGAACTGGGTTGCGGCTAGTAACTGTAACCAGTGGGAGCTCCAACGGAAACCAGCCGCACAACGAAACCGGAACCGAGCTTTGGGTTGAGACTTTTAAGTACTCAGAGAGCCCTTCGTAAAACAAAGCCCGTCAACGCCGGAACAAAGCCCCTAGAAGCCTTTCATAAGCTCTTACAAGCCCTCAGAAGTCCTGAAAAGCCCTTACAACCTTAATAAAACCCTTGATTACAAGCTTGCAGGGGCACCCGTGTAAGCCCTTCAAAAGCTTTACAAGCCCATTCTAAACCCTCAGAAGCCCTTTACAAGCGCTTTAACCTTGGAGTCCCTTTAGACACTCTTCCTTGAGCCCTTAGACCTCGACCCAAAGCCTTAAACCCCTAACCCTTAAACCACAAAACCTCGGACAAAAATCTTACCCTCCTCTTCATGTTCTTTTCCTCTTCCTCTCCTCTTCCCTTATCTGATGGGGCTCTTTCCTCTTCCTCTCCGAGTCTCCCCTTCTTTGAACCCAGACTCTTCCTCTCCCCTTTTGCTGCAGGCTTGCAAGCAAGAACGCCCGGTAAGGAGCCACTCTTTCGCTGAACCCTCAACCCCGAGAAATCCACCCACTCGTCAAAACCCATCGATTGAAAATTTTTATCATGAAAAATTTACTGTTCCTCTATTTGTACACTCCAACCCCAGAACCCCCTCTTCCCTACACCCTAAAGCCTAACCTACCGTGAACCCTAAACCCTTAACCTTTAACAACACATGGGTTGTGTTAGGGTTTAACAAGGAATCCTCGCAAAACCATGGTTTCGTATGGTTTTGCTGCTAATCAAGATTCTAAACCCTTTTCAACACGGAACCCTCAAGTGCATAATAAGAGGCACGTGCGAGGCACGTGTTAGAAAGGCAGTTCCTGTTAGAGCCCCCCCGGTTGCTGTTACATTCCTCCCCCCAGTTCCTGCTACAGCGGACCTGGTTTCGGGCCGGCCAGTTCCTCAAACAAAGTTTCCTGTTAGAATCCCCTGGTTCAGGTTGCAGCGTTTACTGCGGCGCGTCTCAGGGATTCATTCGTACAAATTGCAAACATAGGGACGTAGGCATGACGAGTTTGTCGTCATGGCAGAGGCTGCATTGAGTTAACACTATAGATGAACCCAGTAAGATCGCGTAGGAACGATGGCTCCTGAGAAGGACCAAGACAACACATGCAAAGTGCTGCCTAGATCCTCGCGCAACCAGCGTCCACAGAGACAGTGGATTAGCAGCTTGGGCGGATCGTGCACCGAAAGGTGCAAAAACCAACTGGACGTCTCGACTGATCCATTGCTCTTGCGGCTCTGACCAGCAGCTGGACAGTCCATGATGGTAAGGTTTCTGACAGTCTGCCGCAAGTCGCAGCAGGTGGAGATGCAGTCCGGCACCCAAGCTCGGGCCCGGATCGCTGCAACGCCATCCTCTGGATTCCAAGCTCAGGAAAGCTTCAGACGCTTGGCGCAGTCGGGTCGAGGCCGTCAGTTGGGCCTCGACGACTTGTCGATCGCCGAGCTTCACTCCTGAAAATGCCACCGTTACAGTGCTGCCTGGCTTGATGTTGCAGGTCGTGACAATCAACGGAGCCCCAGCTGCTGGCCACATTGCAAGCCCTGAGGCCTGCGTGCTTGCATAATTTCCCAGTGGGGAACGAGCCTCCACTGCGACAACGTGGATTTCCATGGTTTGGCGACATCCTCTCCAAGAGTTTAACCTAAGGGAAACCGAATGAAACTGACTGAAGGTCGTCAACCGAAAAAGACTCATTAACTTTCGTGTAACTCTTGACACACTCGCACACGCGTTCAGTTGTTCTGGCATTCGGTCAAAGTCTAGCGCAGCTCGGCTACAGCTCTAGATGTTAGCATGCTTCCTAGCATGCTTCACGTGAAAAGCTCACCAGTTGGGCTCCGGACAAAAAAATGTGCTGAGAAGATAAACATGCACGGTTCCACCCATGACTGCAGTGACTTGTCTTGCTGCGAGCAGCTCTTGCCTGGAGGTCTGCTCTTGTCACGTCCGCCGTGACCTGCAATTGCACATGCCAAGTTAATCAAGCGCAGCCCCTTCCGTTTCTTGTATTCTGACACGTCTGCTAGCCACGTTCGACACATGCAGCATTTTTTGACATCGCTGAGAATGCGGTCAACCTTCTACGTGAACTGCTACAGCTTCGAAAGCTTCAACTCGTGTGGTGGTTGGCCGGCAACTGAGCCGATCTCTGCGAGTTGTGCCTGGACAGGGCCAACCACTGTTATGAACTTTACCACTGCTACTGTGCTGACCATCCTACGTCGGCGAGCCTTGCGCACCACGAACAACGATCCAGCTAAAGGGAATCTCTTATCATCATCAGAGCCAAAACCTTCCCGGGCTGTGGTGATGTAAAGGTCGTCCAAGCTCTTTCCGCCGAAAGCTACAGATGTCACCTGAAGCCAGGCCAGGGTCATTCCATCAGGTGCCCAACAGTCGAGCTCAAGAACGCAAGGGGGTCCTGAAGTCTATCTTGCACATGATGGCATACTCTTTTGCTGAGCCCTGGTGCATACAAAAGAACAGCCAAGTTTTGCTCTGTCCCGCGAAATTCCCTGCAGCTTGCTGACATACTCATCTCCAAATGATATTGCATAGGAGCCATGTCGGACAACAAAAGCACGAGCCTGCTTGCCTGCCTCAGGCGGAACGCGAACTTCGGCCAGAAGGCTGCCGGATCGCGGATCATAGCAACCCACGCAGCCGCCGTTAAAGCGGGCTATCCAAAGTCGATCCTGCTGGTCAATGGCACACCTCGCGCTCAAACGTACCGGGGCCGATAAATACGCGATATGCTACTAGTAACTCATGGTGCTTCCATGCCGTTTCAGCGCTGCAGAATTCAAATAATAAAACCGGCCGAGCATCCCATCCGGAAATCCAGTTGTGTGAAAATCGAAGCCCTTTATGGCGGCACGTCGGTTGGAAATCACCCCGGTTTGCATGTTGAAATCGAAGGCATCAACTTGCGCTGAGGCTGTATCAATGTAATACATAGTTCCTCCATCTTTGGTCCAAGCCAACCCGTTTGAGATGCTCAAGTCCGTCAAGATCGGCGAAACTTTGCCGGCAATGTCTCGGCAGTACAGCGTGGCACCCTTGCAGATGTTGAAGTCCTTGTCCCGCGTAATAGTTCCAGCCCAATAGCAACCTCTTGGATCAACTTTACCGTCGTTGAAGCGCTCGAACTCACCCATAGGTGGATCGTTGCCTAGCCTCTCCAAGCTCCGCGTGCGGAAGCTGTAAATTGCCTTAGCTTTTCGCAGAACCAGCAGGGACAGGAACATCTCAGTCGGTTCGAGTGGAGCAACAGTTTGCGAACTTAGGCCCCTGCAAAGCCTTCTCGCAGAGTGATTGCGACTGAATCGCCGTCAGGGTCAAGCTCCCGAGATAATGGCACGACGGAACTCACAGAGGCAGAAGATTTGCTTAGGTCAAACTCCTCGTTGAGCTGCGAAGTTGGATCAAAGCGGTAAAGCTTGCAACCTGGGGAGTGCTGCCCCGCTCATAGAAAGGATGCGCGGCGTGCACCGTTTCGACCAAGCTGCCGTAGATATCCAACCAGAGCAGTCTCTGCGAGCCTCAGGCTGGGCGGAGTGCAGGGAAGCTTCTTGCAGGCACTCCGACTCCAAATCTACCGGCCGTGTGCAGCTGTGCCGCGGCTGTCCCATATGGAACCTTCGCCAAGCATGGCCGGCAGTTGGACCGCCAACTCTGCCGTCAGAGTCAGAACCATGGCTCGCGTATTCTCCACCAGGAGCGCGACTTGTTTCGTGCCGTGCCCTTGCTTTTGACCCGTTGTTGTAGGTCCTCCTCACTGTGGTCGACGCGTATCTCTCCCAATCCCTCATGTGGTCTGTGTTTCTTTGTGTCTGTGTGTCTGTGTGTCTGTCAGTCTGTCAGTCAGTCAGCCAGTCAGTCCAGTCAGTCAGTCTGTCAGTCTGTCAGTCTGTCAGTCTGTCAGTCTGTCTGTCTGTCTGTCAGTCTGTCAGTCTGTCAGTCTGTCAGTCTGCCAGTCTGCCAGTCTGTCAGTCTGTCAGTCAGTCTGTCTGTCTGTCTGTCTCTGTCCGTGTGTCTGCCTGTCGCCTGTCTGCCTGTCTGCCTGTCTGCCTGCCTGCCTGTCTCCCTGTCTCCTTGTCTCCCCGTCTCCGTGTCTCCCTGTCTCTCTGTCTATCTGTCTTTCTTTCGCCAGGGCTATGGGCAAAGGGAGCAAGTTCCCTTTGCCCGCGCGAGTTTGTGCCCCCGACCGTTGCGGTGGGCAATAGTGAAATCGCATGCCGCCCAAGGCCATGTCTATCTGTCTCTCTGTCTCTGCGTGTCTCCGTCTATCTGCCTCACTGTCTATCCGTCTTTCTGTCTCTCCCGCTCTCTGTCTCTCGGGCTGTGAAGGGACGTGAAAGTCACCGGGTTCGCATGCCTTGTGATGGTTGAACCTCCCTGTCTTTCTGTCTATCTGTCGTTCTTTCGCCAGGGTAGAGGACCAGGGAGCGACCTTGCCCCAGAGTGAACTCGAACGGAATGCCCTCGTCAAACCGGCTGCTCACCGAGTTTCCCCGCGATCAAGACAAAGGAAAGGACGTACATGAATGATAATTTATGAAGGTACAATTGCATGTTCGTGAGCAGCGCCACTTCTGTTTTTCAGTCTCTCTCTCTTCTTCCTTCGGGTTAGAGGAGCTGGTAAGGCTCCCCGGCCCATAGGGCCCCCCAGCGTTCCGGGGCTTTCGGGGAGATCTATACTCTCTCTCTCTCTCTCCCGGGCATAGGGGCAGGTCAATGCCCCCGGGCTAAATAGCCCACCCGATGTTTTATCGGGCGTAGGGGAGTGAAAGTCGTGTATAGTTCATTGTTTGGGCAGTCTCTCCCTCTCTCTCTCTCTTTCTTTCGGCAGGGTTATGGGAGGCTCTCTCTCTCTCTCTATCTCTCTTCTTTCCTTCCTTCCCTCCAGCAGGTACAGGTCTGCGCCTGCAGACCCGCGCCGAGGCGCCCCCCTCCCTATCTGGTTAAGAGCCTCGGTGTCATTGGAGCGGTTTCCGCCTCTATGGCTGGCTGAGTTTGTGGAGGTTGGCTGTTGCAGGAGCCCCTTCAACCCTGAACGTTATTTAATCCAGGCCTCGTCCCCGCGCCCTCTAAGGCTAAGTCCTTGGTTCCTGCAACAATCGCCCCCCCCCTGGGGTGCTACGCTAGCTGGTTGGTCCTCTCTCTCTCCTTCACAAGGGGAGGGTGCGGCCCTCTCTGCCGCGCTCCGGGTGCCATGACCCCGAGCCCTGCAAGTGGCGCGCTATGCAAAGGTCCATGGAGTTCAGTCGGCATGAATCGTAGCAGGGCGTTGAGCTGTGATTGACACCCCTGGCCCGTACCGTCTGTGCTGTTAGCGGCGAACCCCTGTCCAAGTTCCGAACCAGGCCATGCGCATGGTTCACTCACAGCTCTACTGCACTTGCCCGGTTGGGGTCTGCATCTGTCTGTCTCTCTGTCTGTCTGCCGGTCTCTGTCTGTCTCTGTCAGTCTGTTAGTCTGTCTGTCTGTCTGTCTGTCTGGCTGGCTGGCTGGCTGGCTGGCTGGCTGCCTGGCTGGCCTGTCTGGTCAGACTGACCAGACTAAACTGACTGACCGTCAGTCAGTTCAGTCTGGTCAGTCTGAGCATATCTGCTCGGTCTGTCAGGCTCTGTCTGTCAACCTGTCAGTGCGTCACTCGGTCAGTGTGTCAACAAAACAGGCGAGCCTTTCTGGGCAGTCTCGTCTTCTTGTCTTGCTCTGAAAGTCTCTTTCACGACATCTTGCTGTAGTCCCCATCACAGGCACGAAAACGAGACCTGCGCTTGCACGCCGAGCGGGTTGACTCTGCATAGACTTCTGTATACGATCAATGGCACGAGCAAACGTAAAGGAGAGGTGGCAGGAACCTTGCACAAACAGAGCTTTGTCCTTCGAAGCTTACAGCGATGGTTTGTGTTATCATGGCCGGTCACCCTGACATACTTGCAAGCACACCCTAGACATCAAGCAATGCATGGTGAGTATGGCTCATCTGCTACATTCTACGTGCCGCCAGGCTCTCGGTCATTAGCCAAGATTTTAATCGGCCGCTACCAGAATGCGAAGAGCGCCCGTCTGACTCACGTAGGTTCGTCAACAAAATATAGGCTTACAAACCTGTGCACGTGAACCTGGCCCCCGAACATAAGTTTTAGGATGCGACATACATAACACAACTTCTACCTTGGTGCAAAATGTCAACCATCTATGCGACACATGTGTGCTCTTCTGCAGTGGCCAGAGATATCCCTGTAGGAACTTGGCAGCTCGAAGCTGAATGGCTAACATCGTTTATGTGAGCACCAACAAAGAAGAAGAGACGCATGCAAGCAAGTGCATATGGCCCCCAGAAACTCTTGGGTTTACGAGGGGGATCCCGGGCATCTCGGTGAATGCGGGCAAGTATTGCGACCGCTTCTCAAGGCACCTTTGTCAAGAAGACGCGGCACCCGCTCTGCACGGAAGCTGTCACCGTGGACGGCGGTGGCCTTGGAACTCTGGAAAGGACTGCCGGCATTGGTGACCGGCAGAAAAAAATTTTCAACATTTCAGTAGTGAACGCTCGTGGTGCCGCGATGTCCACAGATATTGGACTACCTGCAGCTGAGCGATACATAGTCATACAACCGTTATCTTCACGATGGCAGGCTACCTTGCACTTCGTGCGCTCCATGTGCTATTGCTTTCTGGATGCCAGAAGCATCAGCCTCGGAGCAGGTCAGCTATACATGGAATGCTTGGAGGCTACGGACTCCTCAGGCATGCGCGAAAGATACAAAGCAAATTCCTTTGTGCCCTCCTGCAATGCATGGCGAAGTTGACAGGCAAGCGGTCTGCTGCTCAGCAGCAACTACAACCGCCGACAGTCTCACCCAGCATCACACGACAGCGTCAATTACAAGTTTTACAAAGCCTATACTCAGCTGCGACCGTTTGTAAGGCGACGGCCACCACCCGGAGGAGATGGTAGGTAGACGTCTGTCAGGTCACCGAACCTTAGCTTAACTTTCAAACGCCTGCTGACAGCATGATTGGCCTTGTGAAGGGTAGTTCGAACGCTGCACTTGTAGGTGTGCACTAATACTACTGATACAACCGATAAAAACAAACACCAGCCGCAGACCTCACTACCCGAAAACCAGTGTAAAATTGAGTGAACCCCGATACAGCAGCACGGAAATAAAAATCGTGCATCTTGACCCTGGGACGCCGCTTCTAGCCCAACACACCGGCAATAAATGAGGCGCCACTTCGAATCGGACATGTTAGCCACCACCTGGAGCCCGAGAAAACGGCAAAAAAAAAAAAAACGATCCTAGCAACCTACAGCGAATCCAAAACCAACGTAAAGACGAAGCTGCATCAAAACGGACAACAACTCAACCCGGAGCTGAAACCCGAAAGAGTGAAGCCAACCCGAACCAGAAGCCTAAACCCTAAACGGCTCTGAACCTTCCAAACGCTTTAGACATATTCGTCAAGCACCCCTGCACCCTCGATCAAGAGCGAAAAGTACATGAGCACAATTTGGAGGTCCAGGCCGGTTTCGACTCTCTCGCAAAGGCAAGGCTTCACGCAGGTTCCATTGAAGCTACACCTAAACTCACAGCCCAAGTGCGGAACCGTGCACTCCACTACCCAAAGCATTCAAGCACGAACAGCACTAACAACACCTATCAGACACCACAGCCGCACCACAGGGACGGCAGTCATGCACACCTTGCATACACGACAGGGAGAGTCTGCTCCGTAAGTCCACAACACTAACCTCTAACTAGACTCTAAAGGCCTCGCCCAAACCCACCGCTACGAAGGTTGATCTGCTCGGATATCGGATTGTAGCGTCGGGTGCAGGACTCAAGGAAAGCCGGTTGAGCTCGCAGCATTCCATGAATTTTGAAGTTTAAGCGTTCCGCTTGCAGCGTGTCGAGCAGAGGAAGTTGAAAGGCTGAGAGATGTGAGATTTTGGGGGTTCTCCAATGCTCAATTGATCAAGGACTGCCAGGTGACAAATGTGCTTCAACGGGCGGTTCTTTGCAATAGAGAAAGCGATGAAAAACTGCATAGGTAGCAAACCCAGAACATCATATCATGAGAGTTGATCAGCAATTGGGCAAATCCGAAGGACTCCAAACACACTAACTAACCCAACAACAGAACTAGGAATATCAAGCTCCTCCTCGGCAACGCCCGATAGAGATGGAAATCGCCCTATACCTGGCCAATCTTGCCTTCGCAACAAGCTGCCCAAAAATAACAATTGATACTACGCAGATGTCCGAGGAATCTGTTCGTGCGTAGATGGTCAAGACCATTTCAAGACCGCACACTCTGGGCTGGTCCGAGTCTGCATACGCTGTTGTTCACACGACGTATCACTCCCAGGCCCGTCGGGCGTATCCAAAAGCAGGTTTGGGCGCAACACCAGAAGCAGAAAACCCTTTTGTAGCTTCGTCTCAATGCCATGCCGACAAGCGCGGTTCCGGCCAGTGAACGTCAACAGGAAAGAGCATAACTGAGCCACAGGCCACGCCAGTACTAACTTCCATGCAAAGCAAGTCAGCCCTCCGCACTAAGTTCTCAAGCTGCCGCAAACCCTGACAATTCAGGCAGGCAGCTGCGCGAAGTGTGCCCGAAGTTCGGCTTGGCCCAACGACTGGGGCACCTGACATGTCAGTACAAATCCTCCACTGCCTCTTCATTCTTCAGAGAACTGCCTTCGAGACGAAGAGTCGGTCCTGCTTTTCGCTTCCTTGTTGAGCCTGCTTTAGCAAGGCGATAGTACGCACCGGCGTTGGCATGTTCGAAGTTCAAGCTTCCCCTGCCTGAGGAACAGGTCTTTGCTGGGGTCCGCTATGCTCACCTGGCAGGTCACAGGTGCAACTGCATCGCACGTTCCGCTTGCGAGAGTCCGAAGCCCAACCTTTGCTCGAGAAGCTTACGCCCTGGAGCGATGCCTTTTCAAATTGTATGACAATGCTGTCACTCAGGTGCCAGGCTTTCCGAGTCCGAGGTCCGAGCTAAAGCTGCCTTTGCGGCAGCATCTAAGTTGGCTGCATCCTGCGCTGGTTGACGAAGGAGCATGGCTATGCCTGTGACACTGGGCAGACTCTGCAGCTGACGTTCGCGCCTTTGCTCTGGCTGCAGTCGCGTCATCCTGAAATCACACGGGTTGAGGGCTTCAGAGCTCGATCCCATCGCTCCCATGATGCCTCGGCCATGGCAAAGCCTGGACTGGGCTACAGCCGCTAGAGCCCGGAGCGGTATCACGGAACAGGGCACAACTGCCAGCATGTGCGAGCATGTGAGCCACACACTCCGGCATTCACCTTGTCATTGCATCCCAGATGCGATTTCACAAACCATCCGTCTCCATCATGATTTCATCATCAGCGGGTTCAGCCTCCCCAGATTTGGCTTTGCCATCTGGTGCAGGAGGCGGAGGCAAACTTTCAATTGTTCGCAGCTTCCTCTCGAAAGAATCAGCTTTGGCATGGAAAGACCGAAGCAGCTCATCAATCCGGTCGAGGCGAGCCATGGCATAGCTTTCCTTGGCTGTCGTACGGTCATGCCTCCTCCTCACCTCGCTAATTCATAAACACGACACGATGCCAAGGAAGTCAGCTGCTCGTCCAACGTCGGCTCGGAGCGGATTGTTTGGCGGAGCTCCATGGACGCCGTCCCTCCTTTTGCACCCATGACCTTTTCATAGGCGACCTTTACCTGAACAGGAACGAAGAACCGATGTGACAAGCTTGCTTCAGTGTGGCCCAAGCACCTTCTCCATGGTTTTGCTGGCCACCAGCATCGCTTTCGAATCTGCATCTCCTGCTCTTGTATTGTCGATCAAGCGTGCTCAGTTGCGCTTATGCGGACGGTGAACCCTGGTCGTCTTCTTGTGCAAGCAAAAGTACATACCATATTTCTCGGCCTGTCACAGGTACAAGCCCGTGCATTCCGGTCCTTGCACCTGTGCCATTCCTTTGAGGAACTCCTGAGTAGCACCAATGAACATCGCCAAGTCTTTGCCAACAGATCGATACAATCCAAGTATCGGAGACACTTAGCTCACCTTGACCATCGTCGTCCAACACCCGGAAAAGTTGTTTCATCTCCTGAGAATGCGACCCGTGACTTCTGCATCCGCCTTTCTTCCAAACAAAAACGATGCAACCTGTCTGAGGCCCGAACTTCCTCTTCGAAACCCAGCAAGAAGAATTTATCCCTGAGGAACGAGCATTGCTGAAAAACACCTTGTCAACAGCGGCCGCGTTCCCACCTGCACCGCTGGATTTCGAAAGCGGCATCAAACTCCTCCGTCGTAACCAGTCCGCTCCCATCCTCATCCAGAACCTCGAAAATATGCCTTGGCTGACGCAGCAGCAGCGAAGACGGTTCGTAGCCGACGCCGAGCCATCGGCCACGTTACTTGAGGTCCTTCATGTTCCGCTTCTCCTCCATTCGCATCTCAAACAATCTCTCGGCTTCGTTCTCGTTCACGATAGCCTGCGCCTTGTCACCTCGTTGGGACACATGAACACAGGACTTTGGCACCAAACTGAACTTACTTTGGTCCAGTTGCAGATCGTGGCTGTAACCAGATTGAGGATGACGTAAGCGGCAATCGCCATGAAAGCAAAGCAGTAGATCCAAATGAAAGGCTGTGTCTCTTGCAGCTCTTCAATCAGGCTGACTGCATTGTCGCCTTCGTCAATCTTAGGCACACCTACACCTTGCCTGGAGTGTCAACGGCGATCTTAAATACAACCGAGGCACTGAAAATGAAACGTGACATGGTTAGGCTGGCTTGAACTAAGCCATTCTGGAAGTACCAGGCCGCCGTTCCTTCTGGAGCCGTTCCCCATCTGGAATCTCGTCCTCTCAGAACTCGCCGTAAGTTCGTTGATTCACTTAGCGCTCTCCTCACGAAACCTGCTTCGAGCTTCCCGCATGCAATAGTTGCTACTATATGTCGCGGCATGGCCTATGATGTCCACGGAGATGATGCCGAAGGTCAAGTCAGTCAGGAAGATCATCAAAATGCATGCCTTTGGCGAGTGGGTGCTGAGCTCTCCAAGAGCCAGGGCCGAAGAGCAGCCCGAGGCCCTAAATGCTATGCTGTTGTCTCACGTCCAAGTTGCTGCCAGCGTGAAGATTGTTCCCAAGAAGCCCGTCAACAACATCCGGAAGCTTTGGAAGTGTCGTAGCACTCGGAAAGACCGCAAGGATCGCATGCCTCTGATTGCTCGAATCGCCTGACCACGCTTTGCCGGGCACCCCGGAACAACAAAAACTGAACCAAGCACCAAACCGAGTGAAGATAGAAGAGATGCTGATCATGCAACTGCCAGCTGTAGTAACTGTAGTAGGACGCAAAGAGTACAAGCAGGCTTGAACCAAATTGTTGGCCTCGTGCGGCCACCGACTGTTGAATTCTATTGGTTCATCTGTGGTTTTCACCTTTGCGGGACTGTAGGCTGGCCCTGAGAAAGGTGTGAAATGGACCATCTCAGGATGTACATAGCGCCTCAGCAACATACCCAATTCCATTCAAGCCATGACCGGCCCGGCTGGGCTCGGCCGCTGGCACCCTGGCCGGCCATCTGCCCTGACCCGAGCCGAAGCGCAGAGTTGAACTTAATTTTGAAACCGGACTTGATGACTGCCAGCACTTTCATAAACCATAAACCATTTCAAGAGAAGACTGCGCCAGCTCGACGGCCTCGTGTGATCCCTGTCTTCTATGTCGAGTAGACATGGCAAAACCGCCAACATCATTTTGCACCATGGAATTGGCAGACTCAGGATTGACTTAAAACCCCACGCGCCTGGAAAGCAGCCAGGCCCTCGGCACCAAAAACCAGCGGCGCAATCCAAAGCAGGAATACACCAACCACCCAGACAATAAATGTATCCAGCCAGTTGGAAGCAGTTGAGAAATAGCTTGTCCCATGCGCAGCAACGCAAAGACACCACTCCTTGTCTACGATTTCACCAGAAAAGCACACATGAACGGCGCCATGCTCTGCCTTCTGCATGTACGTTCGAGGCCAGTAGGGTTCTGCCGGCCTGCTTAGTACAGTCACGGCTCGACGAGGAAGAGTGCAGTGAAGCTCTCCTGATGAGGTGCTTCACGATGCGGATGGGTGGTAGGTAGACAGCATAAATGCAGTAAGGGCACATCCAAAGTACCGATCATGGCCACCGTAAAGCTGCTGCAGCCATTTTGACCTGACATCAAAATTGCTGCTTTCCAGTATCCTTCTCATGGGCTTTCAGCTGAGGCCGCTTCAATCGGCTTGGACACCGAGGAATATCAAGTTGATGCTGATCAAGGTACAGCTCATGGCCCTGGATTCCAGACTTGGCACCGACAGGCTGCATGCAGGACCAATCTGTCCAGATGGCGGATTCTGGCCCTGAACCCAAATTTCAAAACCCAAGAGCTCCCCCTGACCATCGAGGAAACAGCTCGAAAACCAAAAACACTTGCGACCGCTGCTGAAAACCGGGCGATGCAAAGGGAAGCGGCTCGAATCCGTTGCTCGTGACCAGCTTTCGCAACCTTGGGGTGAAGACATGAACTTTCTCCACTTCGAGTATGGCAAACCTTGATGAAACAACCTGCGACGACACTGGCAACAGCAAGTGCCTGTTCTGTGGACACCGGTAGACAGCTCGTGCAACGCACGCCTGCTTCCTACAATCGGAGCTGTAGCAACAAACGACTGTCAAACCTGCAAGCCAGGCAGCTTCTCTCTCATCGTCAGCTTTGCGACAGGCTCCTTGCTGGAATTCGGGCTGCTATGCAATGCTGCTACCGGCGCAAGAACTGACAGCGGAAGGAGCTTTAGCATGCCTTGTTGGCTTCTCCATTCTTGTTATTGTCTTCGTCGTCGCTGTCAGGAAGCTCAATATCCACCTTGCTTTACACAAGCTCGGACAAACCCAAATGCTGCACAGCTGCCTGCACCCGAGAAGCATTGTATGGCTGCACGGACCATGTGATCAAGTCCGAAGCTGCTCCACGCAGTTTGGAACATGCTGCGTTGGTATGCGGGGAATCCTTGTCCAGATTGTCTTGCGACCTCAAGTCTCACCGAATCTTCCTGTACATGCTGTCACGCCGCGACGTCACGCGAAGTGACTGCAGAATGGAAAGCGCTGACAAAAAATTCGAAAACGGAACTTCACGGCCGAGCTTCGGGGCTTCAAAGACTGTTTTCAGCCTGCACTGTGCCCGGTGGCACGATCGCAGCAAATGCAAGCCAAAGCCACGGAGACAAAAGCAAGGCCTCTCGGCCCTCGACGGCCGAACGGTCTCACCGGCCGCAGCCGCCACAGGCACAGGCTCTAACATGCCCTACACCCTGATATTTGGCCAAACATTGATCACTGAGAAGCAGGTTCCGTTTCATCAACGCACACCTTGATGATGGGCATCCAGCCTCTTCCCTTGGAAGAAGTACTAGCAACAGCAGACATACTGGATTGGAAGCATAATACCCCTTCTTCCAAACGCTGCTGCAAAAGGCACAGCGTCACAATCTCACGACGGTCACGTCTGCAATCCGCATGAAAACAGTGGCAGATAGCCTTCAACACTGAGAAGATGATGGGTGAGCAGGCACTGCAGTACTGCACAGTTTTGCACATTGCCGCGAATCAAAGCATGCTCACTTCTCAAGTGCTGATTCAAGTGTAGCTTTTGCACGGGTCAGAGAGCGATGCTCAGATTGTCTGGCCTGGTCGCAGGAGCATAGCACCCAACCCATGCTAAAGCATTCGGGCTGATATGGTTTTCCAGGATGCACACGTCTTGCCGCATGCCGAAGTTCCTGAGAGCAAGTCATAACTCGGCCGTCAAGATCTCACATCCACAATCCCCAGCTTCTTGAATTCGTTGGGCGAGGATCTTCAATAAGAAGTCACATTCGGCATGCAAGCCCTGGATCTCCTGCACACGGAAAACACCGTAGAGTGAAAGAGTTGCTGACCTTGGCAATCCATCGCAAGCTCCTCCTCCACTGCCAGCAGTGCCTCAAACGCTCTGAAAACGTCTGCACAACTTCACATTCTGCCACACTGAAATCAATTGCCTGCTTGTCGGATCGCAACTCATCGCGACCTGGGAATACGGCAGGCAGCAGCAGACTTACCACATTGGCTGCAAGGCAATGTAAGGTAAAAGCTTCGTTGCAGTGTGACCTGTAGCTCAGCCTTGGCCGCCTGGCTCTCACGAACAGTTGGAAAAAAAACAGCTTCTTCTTCGCCCGGAACCTGTTTGCTCCCGAGGTTCTCATTGCCGATCGTCTTCTTTTTGTTAGAATTCTCCACAATGTTTTCGTACTCCGCCTGTCCCTGAGTGCAAAGGAACAGCACGCGCATCTTCCGCCTGCCCAGCTCCAAGCCAGCTCAGTGATTCACCACTTTGTCCTCGGACTCCAAAGTCGCCATCTGCTTCTGAAGGTCTGCCTGGCGGCAGCTCAAACTCATACAAAACCCTTGTGCCCCCGACGCGTTCCTTGATCCTGTTGAAGAGCATGAGGATCTGAGTCGAGGCCCCCCCTTCGCGAGGAGCACAAGGGACGACAAGGATGACGGCACGTGGGCGATTTGTAGCAACAACAAGACCGGTGCCTTGCTTGCGGTATGTCAGGTCAACCTGAAATGACATCGAAACAAGGACTGCCGCCGATTCACGCAAGCTCCGCGCATCTGGGGCATCCTTTGTTCTTCCCTGCCTGTCGACCACCAAATTCACACGTCGACTCTCCACTATGGAAACGTGGAGTCCCCAAGCAAACGGCAATGCCTCGAGGCCGAGGCAAGGTGCATGGCGTGCCGCTCCTGCTTGACGCTGTCTTGACCCTCTATCGCCTGCTTAAGCCTTAGCTGCACAACACCTCCCAATTTCTGGCCTGAAGGAGGCTGCCCGAATAGAACCTCCAGTGCGACGTTGCACCCACAAACTTGCGGTCCAGGATCCGAGACACTGGCCGTTCGATGCGCTGCGCTGCCACATCCAGCAGTTCTAGTGCCTGCAGACTTGCGAGCACAGTTTCAAGTTTGGAGCCGCCAATGCCCATCTACAGCCAAGTATGCCAGCAATACGGCATTGTTGGTCTCACGGGATTTGACCTTAGCACCGTGCCAGCTTTCAATCCCATGTTCAGAACGTGATGCTCCATGTCTTTCCTCCTTCGTGCTGATGCTGAGTTGAATGCAAAGGCTTCATGCTCGCTCTTGCGGGTGTTTGTAACTTCTGCAACCTGTTCATCTAGCTCCTGACGGACGGCCCTCAGCCAAAGCTTTGGGAGGGACAAGTGCCGTCAGCCGTGTTAGCATGTCACGAGCTGCAGGGTGGTCCACAGAAAGTCTTTCGGGTTTACAGACAGTACTGGGAAAACCTGCTGCACAAACAGGTTTGACTCGACTAGGTTCACCATGTTTTCTCGTGTCCTTCTGTTACAGAATGCCAACAGCAACCCCACAGGTTTTGCCAAAGACTTGCGCAATATCTGGCAGTTCATCCGCTAGCACTGGTCCTTTACGATTGGTACAGTAGTAGATACTTGCATCTGCACGGCAAAAGCGGGCAGACTTCCTTTCCCGTTTTCCGGATGGCTGTAAGCCGTAGCGGCCGTAGCGGTCGGTCTCGGAATCACCGGTCGGGTTTCGGACGGGAGATACCGGGGGATCGGCTACGGATCGGTATTCGGTTAACCGGCGGAAGATTTGGCCGGCTAGCGGGAAGGACTTTGCTGGATATATAGCCTACCGCTATATATACAGAAAGTCCAACAAAATTTCACCAAAAGTCCGAGACAGGATAAGTCGAGGACAGACGTCCAACAGGAACGGTGCAGAAAAGGGACGGGGGCTGGCAAGACTCCTTGGTGTACCGTCGGCGAACGGACCGGCGACCTTGTTCCGGAATCCAGGAACATAGTCGAAAAATGTAGAAATCGCAAAGTGGCGCTGCCAGGAAAAGTATGTTCGGAGCAGGTCACAGAGGACACGGGCCGTGGAGAGTCCCTTCCAGGAGGCCGAGTCGATGGAAGTTGTCGCATCGACTCACGATATGCAAGGGCGAATGGGCGCCGGAAACAAGAAGCGCAATGCACCACGCCAGGGCAAGCTGGCCCCAGAGGTCCCATGCCGCGCTAAACTTCTGCGGAGAGGAGGTAGCTTCGAACCAAGTAAAAAGTCTGAGGGTTCACGGCCCGAGAAGCGAGCGCGAAGACAAACGGTGCGACCTGACGCCCAACGAACAAAGCCAGAAAATCCTGCGTGGCGGGCATCGGCACATGCATCCGCGAAGGCCTCACATGGCAACAGCGGTGCCAGAAAAAGCGGAAAGACCGGGCAGTCGCCCGAGATGCATGACACCCACACGGAAAGGACCTCCCGAGATTCCACGGAGAGCTTGCGATCGGAATCCGCCGGCATGCGGACAGAGATCCAGATGCGGCGTTCACCCGGAAAGGCCACCGAAACGTCACAAAGTCCAGCAAGCTTGCGGCTCGCAACGGAGACGAGGGTGCAGCCCTTGGGGCAGCTGGCTAAACCAAAGTCACGTTGTAGGCAAAGCTCCGAAGAGAGTGCAGACCGTAGCAAAGACCGTGGGTCCGGAGACACCGCCCCATGCACCAAGGGAGGCAGGCTCTGATCACGCTAAAGCGGAGCCAGAGACGGACGGAACGGACCGAACAAAGAGCAAACCCAAAGCAGTTTGCCTGTGAGCTTGCGGAGCAGATGCAACGGGACGGCATCATGCAGAGGAGCGCACGGAATCCAGAAGAAGTGTCAAACGCGCGAGTTTGGGCGGCTCCAAAGACGCGGTGAGGCAGTCAAGAGACAGCGACCATCCGATCCAGGTCGGACGAGTGCCGAGATAAGCCTTGTGCCAGCTCATAGGGACACGAAGGACCAGCAACAGAATGCACATCAGACCGGCCCAGACCGGGGCGGTGGAGCCGGAGAAGAGCGAGAGGAGATCATCCACATAAATGAGCAAGGCATGCCGACGAACAGGACGCGGTGCAGCAACCGGGATAGCATACCAGCCAGGCGTGCCCAGTAAAAGCTTGAGGCACGGGCTACAAGCTCGACGCTAACGAACGTGTTAGCCAAAACTAGCTAGACGAAAAGGTGCAGTAGCGCCCTTTTTGGTCGAAGCGCAATCGTGCGCCCGGCCAGGCGC